CTTTTCTTTCTTTTTTTCTTCCTTCCTTTCTTTCTTTCTTTCTTTCTTTCTTTCTTTCTTTCTTTTCTTTATTTCTTTTTCTTTCTTTCTTTTTCTCTCTCTTTCTTTCTTCTTGCTTGCTCTGTTGCCCAGGCTGGAGTGTGGTGCCTCGATCTCGGCTCACTGCAACCTCCTCCTCCCATGTTCAAGTGATTCTCCTGCCTCAGCCTCCTGAGTAGCTAGGACTACAGGTGCCCGTCACCATACCTGGCTAATTTTTGTATTTTTAGTACAGATTGTGTTTCGCCATATTTGCCATGCCGGTCTTGAACTCCTCACCTTGTGATCTGCCCGCCTTGGCCTCCCAAAGTGCTGCAATTACAGGCATGAGCCACCATGCCTGGCCTTATTTCTAACTAGATCTAATAATAATACATATAATATCATCAGGAAAATCTTGTAAAACATCAAATTCTCCTCCAGAAAATCAATTACAAAATTATTTATTGAGCATCTACTGTACAATGTTGCTACACAAAGACAGAAGATGCAAAGCACATGCTGTCCAGGGGCATGAGCAGAGAGGGTAGGTCAGCATCACCGTCCTGCAAATGTCAGGATGGAGCTGCCCGAGGAGAGCCAGGGGCCCTGTGAAGAGGGAGATCCAGGAGATGCAGGGGTTGAGAAAGGGGGACCAAGTGTGGGCTGTCTTTGATGTGACTTTGGGAATGATGAAGTATTTCAACTCAGAGAGTCTGATGCAAGGTCAGTTGAGGATGGGAGGCCACTGGGAACAAAGGTCTCAGGCAGAAAATAATGGGCTGGTACAGAAATCAACCGGAGTACATATAGAGCAGCAGTGGGAGTCAAGGCCACCAGGACCCATCTGAGCCATGATGTGCAGGTCCCTCAGGGTCCAGTCAAGAAGTGTTGAGAACAGCAGAATGCCTGGCTTCATATCCTGCTTCTGCCACTTCCTAGCTGTGTCCCAGGAAATTCTATGGAATCTCTGTGTCCTGTAGCTTGGTTTGAATGATCTGCCCACCTCTCAGGGTGGTGACCACACATCCAGTTTTCTCAGGACAGTCCTGGTTTATATTGTTGTCTTGGGGTCCCACCCTTTTAGGGTTCACAAATGGTCTCCAAGGTGCCCCACATTTACAATCAATGCTATGGCCACGCTGCTCATAGGATTGTGGCTGTGAGATTCAAAGAGGCTTACAACAGTGCCTGTCATTTAGGATCTAATATAAAATATTATTTCATTCATATTTTATTGAACATTTTCATAAAAATTGTTAAGAAATTAGATTGTAAGTTCTCATCACACAAAATTTTGTGTGTTCTTATCATACAAGTTTTGAGATGATAGATATTTTAATCATTGAATTAACCCTTTAATAATATAAACATATCAAAACACATGTTATACACCATAAATATATACAATTTATATCCATCAACTGTACCTTAATAAAGATGGGTACAATTTTAAATGATATTTTAAAATATAGACAATTAATTAGAGCTTGGTTCTAAAAGATTAATATAGCAGCAGCATATGAAATATACTTGGGAGAGAAATTTTTTTTTTGAGACAGAGTCTCATTTTGTCGCCCAGGCTGGTGTGCAGTGGCACGATCTCAGCTCACTGCAACCTCTGCCTCCCAGGTTCAAGCGATTCTTCTGCCTCAGCCTCCCAAGTAGCTGGGACTACAGGTGCGTGCCACCATGACTGGCAAACTTTTGTATTTTTAGTAGAGATATGGTATCACCATGTTGGCTAGGCTGGTCTCAAACTCCTGACCTCATGATCCACCCACTGCTGCCTCCCAAAGTGCTGGGATTATTGGTGTAAGCCACTGCACCCAGCCAAGAAATCTTTTACAAATTTTATCTTTAATGTCTCTGAGAAAAGAAGAACTCATAAAACATTACACGAACATAAATCAACACAGTGCTTTCTCTTCAAAGTGAACACTTTTAGCCTGTATTTGAGTAGGTTGCTCTGTTTTAGAGATAGTGATGTGCAAACTCAGTTTTTGGAGATTATAAAGCTCCTTAGAGTTTATCAGAAACACATTTGATAATTATACAAAAATAAGGACACCAGTTGATATTGAGGTAGGTTGATATTGATGTAGGTTGATATTGGCTACTCTGTCCCAAGCACTTTTCTCAGGACCTCACACTTGTTAACTCGCTGACGAGTCACAACAATTCTATGACTGTTTCCGTTATAAGGGAGACACAGAAGATCAAGACTCCTATCCAATGTGGTAGTCAGCAAATGGGGAAGGTGGCATGAAAACAGAGAGGGTCCAGCTCAGAGTCCTCACTCACAAGCCATCTGCCATTGGACCATGAAAGGAAAAAGCTGCAGAACTTGCAGGGACTAGAACGGCAGCACAGCACAGAGGTGCTCAGCAGGGCTGCAGCTTCCCAGATCCTCTGTTCCCAAGGCTTCCCTTCTCACATGCTCTCTTCCCAAGTGCCTTGGGAATGTCCTGCTGGGGTAAGACTGCCCATTGGAATAAGGGTTTTTATTTCTTCCTGACCTGTCAATCATCTGACTCCCCTGGACACATCCTCACCTCCCCCAAGGTGAGGTGGATACATCTGAACGTATCCCCTTTTAACCTACCTGTTCCCTATCCACAGTTTCCCCTGATCCTCTGAGTCAGAGGAAGTTTCTCCTACTTAAAGGAAAGCACCCTCTCCATCCTCTGGACTTCCAGAGCCCTTCATCGATCTCTCTCTCTGCACCTCTCCCTTCCCATTGGGGCTGATAGTCACCTGTGTGTGTCTTCCCAGGCCTCTGAAAGGCACAAAGGGACACAGGTTGCTTTGGACAATTGCATATAAAAACCACACTACTATGACACCCATTTTCTTGTGTTTTTGTGTGAGGGGAAGAGGGTTCTTCCTTGGTTGTTGTAGACTCCCCATGGAGGCTACAGACTCTCATTTTCTCAGCTCCATTTCAGAAAGGAGAGGTTTCAATGTGTTGCTGATGTTCGTGGTCTCTTTAGGGGAATCACATGGTTCTGTTCACACAATTCCAACCCTGTGTCGTCATGCACACACATACTTATTCAGGGGAATGTCAGTCTTTGCAGGTTTCTTCGGGCACTTTTGGTGTACTGAGCTGAAATATGCGGGTGGTGGTAGGGTGTGGATTAAACACTGAGATACACACCAACATGGAATCCCAGCCCTAGACTTGGACTAAGACAAGGGAGGCACTGGGTCTGGGAGAGGCATTGGTGATTTAATCAACATCTAAATGTGAAACAAGACAGCTCCAAGACCAGAGGCCTTTCCTAAAGTCTCCTGGATAAG